GGTAAGATATAAAAGGTGTCGCTTTGATAATGTACACTTAATGAAAGCCTTGGAATTTGAGGAAGAGTGTGATGAGAAGAGAGGATATTAATATAAACAGAACTAATCTGGAACAGTTATAATAAATTCCTTGTTACCTAACCATGTCAGGTGTACTTTGGATTTGGGAAACCTCCCTTATTAAAGTCAGTTACATTGGCAGATAAGGGTGTTTCTGGACATGAAGGTTGAAAACAACTTTTTACTGTTACCCAATCTTGGAAAGGAAATCTAGAAAAACTAGTAACTCATGTAGTCTCTAGAGTAAATAATCATTTGAATTGTTTTTAAGACAGGATGGGATTAAACTTTCATTCAATCATTTCTAAAATGTATAAATTTATAATGTATCTATTTTATAAAATGTGCTCAATTTGGCAATCTTCTATGATTTTTTTATTGAAAAATGTGTTTCTATTGATTTCAGAGAGTAAGGAACAGGAAGAGAGAGAGGAAAACATCACTGATGAGAGAAAATCATTCATTGGTTGCCTCCTGTATGCCTCGCACTGGGGACCGATCCCGGAGCTGGGCCATGTGCCCATACTGGGAATGGAACCAGGATCTTCTTGTTTACACTTCAAAGCTAAACCACTGAGCCATGCTGGCTGGGCATTTGGCAATCTTTGAAACAAGGATTCATTCTTCTTTCTCTAATAATTAAGGTGTTGTATTTATATTTTGTCTATCATCCTATATAATAAAGCGGTAATATGCAAATTGACCATCACATCCTCACACAAGATGGCCAACCCCATGTGGGCACAAGATGGCCGGCAGGGGAGGGCAGTGGTGGGTTATCAGGCCGGCAGGGAAGGGAAGTTGGGGGGGACCAGGTCAGCAGGGGAGGGCAGTTGGGGGGACCAGGCCAGCAGGAGAGGGCAGTTGGGGCAACTGGGCCAGCACGGGAGCAGTTAGGTGTCGATCAGGCTGGCAGGGGAGTGGTTAGGGGGCAATCAGGCTGGCAGGCAGAAGCAGTTAGGGGCAACCAGGCAGTCAGACAGGCGAGCTGTTGGGAGCCAGCAGTCCTGGATTGTGAGAAGGATGTACCCCAAGGAGTCCCAGATTGGAGAGGGTGCAGGCTGGGCTGAGGGACACCCCCCGCCCCCGAGTGCACGAATTTCGTGCACCAGGCCTCTAGTCCTATATAATAAAGCCTAATATACTAAGTGTTTGGTGGTCCGGTTTTCCGTTCAACCAATCAAAGCATAATATGCTAATGATAGGTTAAGGACACTCAATTGCTCGATATGATATGCACTGATCACTAGGGGGCAGACGCTCCATCCGGTGGGTTAGCTTGCTGCTGGGGTCTGGTTGATCCGGACTGAGTAAGATGGGCTGGACAGGCCCTGGCGCCTTCCCACAGTCCCTCTCTGGCTGGCCAAACTGTCGAATCCCTCCCCGCCCCCAATCATGCACCTTTGGGGTCCCTCTGTCTGGCCTGCATCATCTCACAATCTGGCACCTGTCAGGGAATTTCAGAGAGTTGGTTTCAGCCCGATCCTGCAAAACATTAGAGCTGCCCCCTGGTGGTCAGTGCACTCCCACTGGGGTAGCATCACTCAGCCAGAAGCTGGGCTCACAGCTAGTCAGTGCAGCGGCTGTGGCAGGAACTTCTCCCACCTCTGTGGTTGCACTAAGGATGTTCAGCTGTTGGCTTAGGCCCACTCCCCAGGAGAATCGGGCCTATGTCGAGAGTAGGACATCTCCCAAGGTCTCCGGGACTGCAAGAGGGTGCAGGCTGGGCTGAAGGATACCCCCCTGAGTGCAATA